AAAAAAAAAAAACATTTCTTATTCAACAGTCATAAAAATTATTTCTATTTCTATTAATGATGTCTTCAAAGTTTAACAAATTTTTCGTAGAAAAATAACTTATCAGAAAATGCGCCCGCCATTTGGTGCGCTGCTTCGCGACGAAAACAGGCTTAAGCAATGGCGTGGTCGAACAGTACACACTCGGTAAGTAATCCTGTAATTTTTTGTTTATAGCATAGTTTATACAGATTATTCCCAAAAAATTATACGTGTTTTAGAAATGTTGAGTGAAATTATAGTCTAGAATCGATTAATTTTATGGAAGAAAACCTTTCAAACAGCTGTAGTCCGTAAACTGCACATGTGCCAGGCTGTGATTGGCTCATGTATTTAAGGATTCCTACAATACAAAATTCTTATAAAGCAGAACATATCTACCACATTATAGGGGGATCGACTGTATAGATAAAAATACACAAAATAAAAATAGTCCTCAACAGTTAATAAATATTTTAAAATACAGAAGCATTTATAGATCATTGCACGGGTGTATCCAGGAGAGGTGTGATGTTGCAACATCCTCTTGATACCAAAGTAACCACTTTCATTACCTTAAAAAAAAAGTATAATAATGTTCAGCATTTGATTTCAATGGCAGAAAGTAGTCTTATATGAACAAAAAAGCTGAACAATTTAAATTGATATTTCTTGGAAACACATTCAAATCCAGACTAAGGATAACACTTGTCAACATGATTTTTTTTTTTTTTTCTTATATTTTATTAGCTAAACTATATACCATATTTACTTGCATATAAGATGACCTCGCATATAGGACAAGGTGTGACTTTAATTTTCTTTATTTTGATCTTTAAATTTATTAATACAATTCTAATATTTTGTTTAATCACAAATAAAATATCAAATGAACATAGATGCACACATTGTCCCGCAAAAATTACTGGTATTTTAAACTTTAAGGAAAAATCTTGTAAAATTGAGAACATAATTTGTTAAAACTGGACAATCAGAAACCTTTTATTGCAATTCTTAACAGTCAAATCCACTCTGTCGATTACACTTTCGAGTTTCTTTGAATTTTGATTTCCAAATAATCATCTGTTTTCATGTGGGAATGGATTAAAACTTATACTCCCGTATGATTTTAGAATTTCAATCTGGAATTCAATTCTATTGCTATTCATCTTTACTCCTGACAATACACAAGAACAATTCAAACAACCCAGATAAAATACTTGTTTTTAAATACAAGAGGGTAAGCAACCGTTAAAAAAATGCAAATACACAGTTCACAAAAATTATTTGCCAAAATGCAAGAAATCTTTTGCTCGCGTGTATAGGACAACCTAGGAATTTGAAGCTAAGATAAATGAATAAAAACCTTATCTTATATGTGAGTAAATACGATATGTTGTTTTGTGCTGATTATTAAACTTATTTCCAAATTTGGTCATTTTGTCATTCTTAAGAAATTCTCAATAATAATAATAATAATAATAGTAATAATAATAACAGCTTATTAAGTGTATATTTCCTCCTGATGTAATTGAAATAGTTTGTTAATTATGATTCAATAATTTGTAGTAAAAATAAAATATTGATGATGATTTCATACATTTTTTATTTCTCCATTTTAAATCACGCTTAACAAGGAGACTGTCAGATGTATAGGTTTCTGATTTGAAACTTGACAAGCACAAAGCCCTAAACACAAACAGATCCTTGTCCAAATAATAGGACCCACTTCACTTTTAAAAAATGGGCCTCTGAAAATTGAGTGTTTAGCTTATGTGTCTTTGAAAGTTTTACTTGTAATTTCAATAGCTGGATGATTAAGATGCTAGGCACAGGAACTACACAATATAGTTTGAGTCTTTCAATTTGACTTTTTTTTTATATGTAACAAAATTATTATATTATTTTATCATATCAGTAGCATTATTATTACTATTCCTTACATTTAAAACTTAGAAAACAAGACCTCTCTAATAACATGCTTTTTGTTGAAAATTTCTTAAATTTTGCAGGAGGTTTATGTATTAGGAGATTGATGCTATTAAATTTTGGTGATTATAGGTTGAGGGTGTGGGGAGATAAAGGGAGTCGTGTCCCCAGAAGGGTCATACTTAATGATGATTTTACTTGTTATTAGCATTTGCAATTTTTTATAAAACTTGCCTTTACCCTCAAAATTAAGCTTTTTGTCATTTTATAATAATAAAAAATATAATATTTTTTTAAAATAAAATACCATAACAGATGTAGCCACCAAATGTTGCTGGGAAAGTTCAGCAACTCATTGCTGGATTTTTATTATTGAAATTGTTTAAATAAAATTCATTATAAATGAAATTTTATTAAACTTATTAGATTAAATTATTAACAGTGCCATTGTGAGAATGAATGAGTATGTGAATGCAAGCAACACCATTGCAATACACAGTAACCAGTGTCTTGTTATGACAGTTGATTGTGTTTGTTTGTATCTAAGCAGTTTAAGTCTAAAAAAAAATTTATTTTTAGCCTTCTGCTGGTTTTATTTCTATTTTTGCTGGTCCACGGGTGTGAAAAGGTTGAAGAATGCTGGTTTAGATCCAAAGAAAATTCTGTTGTTACTTATTCCTACTTTTCACCATATATGATAGACTCCATAGATGATATCTAGAATATACTGATACATCCAATTCTACTTTTACATAACACATACTATATTACTATCTTTTTTTACACAAATTTTCTGAGAACTTGTTTGAATGCAAAAATGGGATACCATTTTTGCATTCAAACAAGTTCTCAGAAAATATTGGTTCTGTACTGTAAAATCAGTGAAAATAATAAGATAAACCAATTAACCCCTTTAATTAACATTGACATTTTTTATATTAATTTAATTAAACGTAAAAAATACTTAAAACTGAAAAAAAAAAACGAAAGAAATGCATTTATTTTGAAGAAAAAAGTTGGAAGTTTAAGTTCCTTTGTCTCCCATTTCTGCGAAATTTAACACCGATAAGTCATTGTTTACACAGCTGGAGTCAGATTTCCTGGGGCATTCTCAGACCTCTCGGGAGGACAAGGGTTTAACGTAGGGTGACTACTAACTAGGCCTATATTTTAAAAAAATTAAAAATTTTATTGCGATTTCCGACCACCCTAATTAATTAAATTTATATAAAATAGAATATATTAATTAAAAAAATTTAAAAACTATTGGAGGTCGTTTTTGACATCAGAAAGCAGCTTTAAATAACTTTACCAAAGTCAAATCTGTGCACTACAACTTTAGAACGATTAATTAAATTTGATAAAAAAAAACGCCCATTAAAAAACGATTAAGCCTTAATCGAGCCTTATCAAAGGCTAATTAGAATCGTGATAAAATTTTTTCGCGTGGGCAAAAAATTTTGAAAAATTTTGGGGACTTAAAAAACATTTCAAAAATTCAAAAAAAGAAAATTTAAACTTCCCTTAAGGACTGCGTTTTATGTAACGCTATGTAACTTGCCCGAGATATCTCGGGTTATATATATATAATATTAATCGGCTTAAGGGTTATATATATATAT